CAACAGAAGTGTTACGTGACTTTCTACAAGGAGGGGACTCAAGCTTGGAAATCGAGTACCGGTAGTCATTATTTGTTCTCTGCCTTGACGCGGTAGCTGTTCAGCCATCCGAGGTAGACACTGTGAGGAACTGGACAATGGATGGATTGGGGGGGGGGGGGGGGGGGGGGGGGGGGGGGGGTGGGGGTAGGCATGCAGAACTGGCCTACTATGTTTGTATGTACCTACTGGATAAGGACCCTCCATCACTAGAGGGAAAAATAATGAGAGACTACAAAGAGGGGAAGGCATATAGTTATTTTGCCTTGTGAAAAAATTAGATTTAGCCCCTAAAAAAGTGTTCCTTCGGGTATCAAATGACGACAGGTGAAACCTCACAGTTGTAGAATTATTATCTGTAATGTGATTTCCAAACCATGTGACAGCAAATGGTGTATGGTGTATGTTGTAAAGGTATTGTAAAATGCATTGTTTAACAATGTATAACAATGTTTAAACCGAGATGGACGTATGGCCCTACGTGCTACCAGTGTCTGTGATATGGTGTATTAATACTGAAGCCCTAACAAAATTGTGCTTCAAAATGATCAAGAAGTGCCTCTAAAAAGTAAAAATCTTTGTTTGACCCCTTTTACCATACTCGTTTTCCCCAATAAACTGTAGTGTTATGAAAACCGTTTGGCAAACACAAAATTTGGTTTCGATTTCCAATCGTAAATATCTTGATAATCAGACAGGCGATCGGATTGTAAAAGTCATTGAGTTCCTGACTGACCTAAATTTATCATTGCAGCATGAGCTAAATCCAGGATTTTGTTTCAGAATCTGAGAGTAAGTTACCCGATCCCTTTAAATGTGTTTGCATTAAAGGTGGTACCCCCCCCCCCCCCCTTCTCAGCAAAAGTCCAGTGTGTAAAGTCAATACGGGCAGATCTTTTTCTTTGTTACGAGCCAGAGATTTTGGGAACACGCATGCGGTACCTCCGTTCCCGTTCCTGGAGGGGGGGCGGGGGTGGTACTACTTCTTCATAAGATGTCAACTTATATGCATTGCATTAAACCTGTTGATATTGATCTAACTTGTATTCATCTCATGGTTATATTTATTTTATCAATAAAATAAAACAACACAGAGAAGGTTGTAGATGAGTACTAAGCAATCATTACTGTATGTAGGACGCCGAGTTGAAGTTATTCATGATTTATTCAAGAGAGGAAGGTCAGACAGACCTGATGTTTTAAATATTTAACAAGAGAAAAATCATAGAAACAGAGAGAGGTATCGAGAGAGATGTCGACGCTTAATGAAAGAGAAAGAGTGATAATAAGGAGAGAGGAGAGTGAAAGAGACAGAGAGGGGAGGGAGAGATAGAGAGGGAGAGCAAGAATTAGGTGTGAAGAGGAACAAGAGATTAAATTTTACAAATGTACACGTTTCCATGTACCTTTACTTAATTTATATTATAATGTAAACGATATTGTGATGGTCTTTGCTTAATTTTAGTTTGCATTCTTTCCTTTAGCTTTATCTTCTAATTTACTATTCTAATTTAGTAAATGTTAGTATAAATATAATTTTGATTTCTATCTCTTCCCCTATGTCATAGCCTCCATTCTTGCTCTCCCTTCCTCATGTTAGTCCATCTCTCTATCTCTCTCTCTGTAATGATAACCCCTCTATCAATCTTTTCTCCATCAACTCATGATATGTTCCTCCTCTTCTCCTTCTCGTTCATCATCACAATCATCATCATCATCTCAAAACTGTATTAATCAATCTATAAGACTCTTTAGATTGATCAATACAGTTCTTATAACATATGACCTTTATGTACAAACAATAAACCAAATGGTCACAATCATTTAATAAAAAGTGGTAAGAACAATTATTCCAACTCTATGGGCAACAACGTAATCTCCATTTTCTCCTCCTCGTTCAAATATTAGCTTCTTTTTCATTCTTTACTCGTGTTACTTCTCTATCTCTCTGACTATACTCACAAGAAAGTAGAATCAACGGTTTGACATGAAACAGTCTAGAAAATGAACTAAATTTATTCAAGTATCAAATGATTTTGAATTACAGACAGCTTTCTCCCACGAGATGAAAAAAATATCTCCCTAACCAGAAACTGGCAAAATAACTAAATGCCTTTCCCTCTTTGTAGTCTCTCATTCTTCCCTCTAGTGATGGAGGGTCCTTATCTACTAGGTACACACAAATGTCTCTATACATAGTAGACGACCAGCTCTGCAGTCTGCATGCCTTTCTCCCCCCCCCCCCCCGCCCCCTCTCCATCCATCGTCCAGTTTATCTCTACCTCGGATGGCTGAACAGTACCCCAGAGTCAAGGCAGAGAACACCCATAAAATAATGACTACCGGTACTCGATTTCCAAGCTTGAGTCCCCTCCTTGTAGAAAGTCACGTTACACTTCTGTTGTCCATTGTGAAATGAGCTCTCTCGTAGCATCTACGTTATCTTCTGATTCATGGGTCATAGTGTTCGATGATGCTGCAACTGATAAATAAAAGGGAAAAGAAAATCAAATTTAAGTTTGTGACCAAAGAACCCTCATCACTTCTTCAACACTAGATCATGTAGCAGACGTGTATGCAGGGGGGAGGGAGTTTCGGGGGTTGAACCCCCCCCCCCCTCCTCCAATTTTGTTTAGACTATGTGTGTGTGTGTTTTTGAGGAAACCCCCCCCCCTCACTTTTTTAATAACAAAAATAAATTAAACATTTTTTGTGCTAAAGGGTGACCCAAAAAGGTGACCTTACCCCCCACCAACTGAACAAAATATCGGTCTCCCAAATTTCATATTTTCGGGGAAAAAAAGAAGGAAAAAAAAAGGTGCTCTTACCACCCCCGGCTTATTCACCGGCTGGCTGAGTCGTTGTGAAATTGACTGCGTGATTTTCAAATTTTACCCCCCGGCCCCCCCCCCCCCCCCTCGAAAAAATCCTCCGTACGCCCCCGTCATGTAGATCCTCAAGTAGAGCTCATTGATATCAGACTATTATATTCAGATCCAGATCGAAAAAATCTATCGTTTTCATGGCCTCTTTTACTTTCTTACATTTATAATTTCTAATTGCAATCACTTTCTAGGCCTTACTGTCGGCCATTCTAGTAGACCCTATTCCATTATCAATTATAGGATCTAGAAAGTCTATTCATATTTCATGAGACATAAATCTCATATTACTGTACATTTCTACCTAAAACACGAGACGAGTGTACTTAAGCAGCTTAAAAGACAATCAGTCTACTTAAAATGCACACACATTTGAACATACGGGACTAGATCTAGGCCTACATTTACTAAAGTTGGATCTCGGCCCACTCTCATTACGTCGTATTATCAGCTTTATTAGTCATAAAAATGAATAACCACAAACTTTGGTTTTCTTACCGTACAAATGATACTGGATTGGAAGAAAATCACTGCAGAATAGCGGACTATGTACAAGATTATGATGTTGATTCGATACGAATCCCGTTGTTTGCAACAGGACAGCTGATCACGGCGAAGGTGAAAATGGACTAGAATTATGTCCCGGCATGCTTTGCGATGAAACAACCGTGAAGGCACGTATAGTAATATTGGAGACACCGAGGCCCATATTTTTAACCAGTACCTCGAAAATAAGGCATGGTATATTTTGTTTTATATCGTTCATCACAAATTTTTTTTAACACATTTTTTTTTTTTTTTTTTTTTTTTTATGAATTAGAAAAAAACAAATTGGAATTGAGATGTGAAGAGAAAATAAAATTTTAAAAAATAAACAAGATTTCAACTCCCAAATAGTACTTTTACTTCCAAATAGTATTCCCAAATAGTCCCTTTTTCAGAGCATCCTCAAAATAGTTGAAATATTTTTGGTCACGTAACGAGCTCTCAACCAATTAAAAAACTAATACATTTTTGATGCAGGATATAATTTAAATTATAAACACATTCTTTATTAACGGCTGATAAATGAGGAATCAACAAACTGTTAGAATTATAATATTTTTTGTTTTATTTAACATTGGTTACTGTCGATAATATCCTTTCTATGTCCAAACAGACAAATATATACATATATGTATATTTCACATAAATACACCCACACAAACAGTTTACTAGTGAGACAACAGTGATAAAAGCAAGATTGAAAACACCAAATAATCGAACTTAAAGCCCCACTGCCCTACTTGTAGCTGCTTGCTCCCTCTATATAGAAAACTTCCTCAATCAATTCAATTCAATTCAATTCAATTTTATTTCGCAATATAAAAATCAAAATATACAAAGTAACAGTAAATTTTAACTATGTTTACAAAGGTTATATGCGGGGCTTTCCATGAAGGTTGCGAAAACCTGTGAAGTTGGATCGCCCATTAAAGAATGAAATTCTTTAAAATCGATGCCTGTTGGTCCCCCATGATCCTCTATTTCTTATGTTATATGAGAGCTGAGTTGATGAGATAGCCACCTGTCAGTGACCTCGATGTGTGGTCTGATCCCTCCTTGCCACACTAGTGTTGATAAGCTTTAAAGAAAAATGAAACCTATTAATCGAAGTCATATGAATTAACTACGGTAGAAATTTATCAAACACCATCGCTTTTAGAAAAGAAGAGCATGACCCCGCCCCCACCACCCCCCTCCCCCACCCATCTTGACCCCTTGACTACTGAATTATCTAATTCCATAGGCTTAATACAAGGACCACCCGGTTCCCGTAGGTAACGAGTTAATAGATCTGCTACTGATTCCTACCATGCTTCATGTATTTACTTATCGGAAGAAAAGAGTTCATCAGCAAGATGAGTTTGTTCAGATTGCTCCAGAGCAGTCTTCAAAGCTTCTCGCTCGGTAGAACCCCTTTCCTTTTTCGCCAATCCCGTAGCATTTGAAGAGTTCCATCATATGTTACACCCTGGGTTTTGAGATTAGTGTGTATGTATCGCTGAATATCTTCCGGAGAGAATTTCAGCTTCTTTCCTAATGTGTCGATTTCCGCGTCCTTGCGGACTTTTTGGCAACTGCCACCAAAGTATCGTCGAAATCATCAGTGGACGGTAGAAGACCTGGCAAAGAAAGAACATGAAATATTAGGAAGAGAACAATAACAACTGTAAGATTAAATAACAATTCAACCTTTAAAGCAAGACACTCTGATAGAAAGCAGACAAATCAGAGAAGCAGAGTTGTAGAAGCTTGAACAAACAAAAGCCAGAAAGTTATGATGTCTTTTAAGTGGAATTACTATAAGTTTGTGAATTAACTTTGACCAAATGAAAATCTAAGAATATGTAGTTGCGATATATAATTTCCCAACGGGAATAGCTAATTGGTCAATTTTAGTTTTTGTTTACAATGGTTTTAAAGCTTGATTAATATCTTTACCTTGGGAGGGAGCTATACATCATAAAGAGTTTATTATTTATAATTTCATAACTTAAGACTCGATTTCAACCGCGACAACGATCACTGAATATTGTAGGATCACATTTGCTTCCAATATGCTCGTTTGAACCAAATTCATGAGCCCAAACCAAAACTTTGTATTACCTTTAAGTGAAATGTTTCCTAACTATTATATCATCATTTATAGAAATTGTCCCACTTTGAAAAAAGTGCAATTTCCAATAGCATATGAATTATATAAGAAAAGAGTTTTTTTTTTTTATGGTGTAACATTATTATTCTCCAGACCACGGTTAACTTTGTTTACCTAATAAAATAATGAAAAATGTATCATAAACAAATCATTAACTACGCACTAATGCCGATTATACGACCTATGCTGTTGTAGTAATCGCTGTTTGGTAAATTAATAGCAATAAGTCAATTCATAACATCAAACCTTGACCTAACACTACACCTAAATCTAACCCTATAAAAACCTTACTTAAAGGTAAAGACCAGTATTGGAAACGCCCCAATTTCAAAAAAGTGAAATGGAAGCTCTCATTACCAATCATGTGAAAGAATATGTTTTGACTAATACATGAGGATAAAAAATTTGCCGGGAAACCGCCTACTAATTCATATATTTGGTAAATTTGTTTCTCTCATGGTCTGTGAGAGATATAGGGTAGTCCCATATACATCTTTCTGTGTATAGTGCTTGTAACTTTACGAAGAATGGGCCAAATTTCTTGTCATTTTGATGATTCCAGAACCTTGCAGATGATAAATTATAGATGATCAACCTTTTCTGATCGATTCCACAACGTTTCTTTCACAATGCAATTGCATGACCATAACTGGTCTTTACCTTTAAACATTTGAAAACCCACTTCCTAACTCTCTCTCTGACGTCCGTGGCATACGTTAAATAATGTATTACTAATACCTTTATCAGGTTGGGTATCGAGTGGGATATCCTTTAGAATGGGGTTATAACCTAGAACACAAATGTAAAAGTCAAAATTAGTCATAATTATATCGAATATCTAAATTCAGACTGATTTTGCGATTAAACACATGACGACAAACTGAGCTGTAATATAAATCCACAAACAAATGTGTCCCGTCGCTGTAACAAAAGACGATGGAAAATATCTTGCAATATGAAAAAAAGGAATGAACAATGATCAAGATATAAAATTATTTGTGTTTGGGGATTTTTGCAAATTCTATATTTAGTTTTCTTAAAATAGACACGATAATAGGGTAGGAAAAGAGCATATGCATCGGGTGAAATCGAATACAATATTTGGTCAGAGTACTAAGATGTTAACACATAAAAGTTTGTCCCCTTTTCACCTTATTATTTAAGTTTAATATATTTGGTCATTTTGAAATACTTTCGAATTGTGTTTATGTTTTCGAGTAGATAAAAATTGTTGGTCATATTTCGAACACAAACTTACCTCGCCTTTTCCGATGATAGATGTAGATGCAAAGGATCATGATCACCAGGAAGATGCCAACAAGCGACACAATTATCCCGGCGATTTGACCTTTCTTCAAATTATTTCCCGGTGATGTTGTTACGTCTAAGGAAAAACAACAAGTTGAAAGAAACTTAATATCTGATCTTATAAGGAGGACTTAAGGTAACTAGGTTAAACATGTGAGTGTTATATTCTGAAAGGATCTTTTCAAAATGTTCATGTGTGGACAACAATAACACCAATGATGATGATGATGATGATAATAATGATAATAATAGTAATAACAATGACAATAACACTAAGACTTTAAAGCGCAAAATAGAATGGAAAGTCTATCTTTACGCCCAACAATGGAGCTATAACAACATTCCATTACATGCCTACAGATCTATTCCGATATCAAACAAAAAGATAATGTGCCATGCTACGGTATTAATAACATAAATTTAAACTTTAAAGTCACTTAATTTTGAATTTTATTGAATCCATTTCATATCATATATTATTCAAATAAGACAGGGAATCTTAAGTGTATCCTTCTAATGGGCAGATACAATAGCAATTTTGCAATGTGTTTTTCTCTATTTAGTGAATATAGCAATAATTTTGTTCTTCCTTTCTGTGCCATATTGTATTTATTATAAGATAGATATAACAAAGGATTCAAGATTGTTCTAGTGCCAGATAAATCTATACCAGTGTTATTAAGGGGTTGTCATGGGGTTAATTAACACCGGACACCAGTAATTTTGCAAAGCCATATATTTTGCACAAAACAATCCTTATTACGTTAATTGGATTATATGTACGTGTTTCAAACAAGGGGCCGTGCAGCAAGTCGCAGAAAGGAACCACAGTGTTAAGTAGCAATTATGACAGTTGTATGAATACATACCTACGGATAGTGTGATCCATGCTTCAACTGATGCGGCTGTGTTCTCTTTTACATTAACCGAAAGATAAGTGGCGTTACAGGTAAAGTTTCCTGTTTCAGACACCTGAATCTGTCGACTGATATCGGTGGTCCCGTCATCGTTCTGCGTAACGTCATCGGTAGATGAGACACGTTGTCCATCTTGATACCAAATGAGTTCAGTATCTTCAACAGGATAAACGTTAGGGAGTGTACAGGTAAGATTGAAGGATTGGTTGTCATGAATTCTGCAGGATGAAGCATCGACAGTCCAGGTGCAATTAGGTGTGATCACTGGAAGCGTATCAGGGCGAAGACCTTAATTGAAAGATGATAATGATAAGTAAGACCAGTCTTATCAATAATGATAATAATAATAAACATGATAATAAGAACAATAACATCAAACCAGCAATGATCATGATTATACTACTAATGATTATTATAATGAAAGTACTAATAATAACAATATCACTTGTCATTATTAATATTATTGGTAGTAATAGTAGTATTGTTGTTGTTGTTGTAATATTTGATTATTTACCCAGGGTAGCCATATCAGTTTTACTATTGCTATTCGTCCAAGTTCTGCAATATTAGGGGTTTTCGTTTTACACGACGAGAGCGTGGACTGCCGCGTGTGACATAGTGTTAAGGCACTAGGCCGTGCCCGTTAGTGCCTTAAAAGGACGTCACATTACCTTAAAAGGATGTCACACGTGGCGGTCCACGTTCTCGTCGTGTTAAACGAAAAAAAACTTATAACAACAAAAGTTAACGGAACCATTACAAAATCAGCTCAGTGAAGAGGGACAGATGTGAGCAAAACTCCTTGTTTAAGAAGGTAGGCAAGGACCTAATGCGGGACCCCTTCAATAAAATCAAAACGTGGCAGTTTTTCTAAGAATCGTACACTGGGGCAAGTGATTAAGGATTTCAGGGATCTACATCAACTGTTTTCTTTGTGTGGGGTGTTAACTACGGCATTATTAAACCAAATGAACAAACATAAACATCAACAACAACAAAAAAACATTGTTAAAAACAAGTTGCAGGTGTCGTAATAAAGTTGTTTATTCACTTGAATGACTCTCAATCCGAAGTTTGCGGGTTCGAATCCAAGACCGACAAGTAGGTATTTGGGTAACTCAATATTCAAGATTTACCACTCTCAGTCCAGATGTCTATGGGAACCTGACAATTGCTTTCGATATAAAAATGATAAGCCCTTCTGCAAGAACAGCTATGATGAAGATAAGGCTTCGTGGGTAAAAACAATTTTCAACATTATTATTATCAAACAAACTGTTCATGCGTGCAGGCCTTAACGTCTAGTTTTTAAGTGAACGTGTGGATTTTCTATAAACAATGTCATAATCGATACGTTTTCAAGGCCGTCATGGAGATAAAAAAAGAAACTTACTGAACACATTGAGCTTGGTTTCGGTATTGGTCACTGCAATCTGGCCTTGCCGGTCCACGACACAGCGATAGGTCCCCTCATCAGCGACGGTTATATTTCTCAAGATGAGCGTCGAATTGTCGTCTTGCAAACTTGCTCGATCTTCATATTCTGCTGCTATAGTTACGATCCCCCTGAAAATGGACAAGATCTGAGGCCCAGTACTAGCGTTGTAGTACCAGAAGATGTTACGTATCGTGCCTTTTCCGAAGAGACATGGTATGTTAATGGTGTCGCCGGTCGTCGTGGAAAGTTCTGCAGTGGTTCGAGAGACGCTGACTGCGGGCAAGGTCAGTAAGGCTGCTACGAGGATTGCTGGGTTAATAAGACAGAAATAATGAACTGAACATGTATTGTACCGAAATAGCTGTACAGTCACGTCATTGAAAACAATTTGTTTAACCTGCTGGTATGTTGGGACACCTTGTGCGATTTATAAGCAAGATGAAAGGGTGTGAATGTCGTTCGGGGGAAAGGTTTATGAGAGAGTTTATTTTTTGTTTGTCCTCTTTCTTTCTCTCTCCTTCTCTCTCTCTCTGTTGCTTATACTTTCTCTGTCTCTTTTCCTCTCTATCTATATCCCTCTTCTTTTTACGTACTCATCTTACACGTACCCATCATCAATGTATAATATTAATACAAATTATAATATTTTTCTTTTTTATCGTGCTTCATAATTATATCGACAGTGTCTGTTAGTGTTTCGTATATTAATACCCTGTCATCGGTTTCAGGCATGCCCGCTCGATAAATGTGCATATTATTCACCCCTGGTGGAGTAGTCCGGCGAGTCGCTATATGCTAAGCAAAGTGTAATGACCTTGGCATCCTACCTCGTACTCATTTAACATCTGGATTTAATTCCTACCAAAGGATGTTAGTACCGGCATGGGATTCGAACCCTCAATCCTTAAAAGGTATTGCAAATTTGTGTGGAATTTTGGAAATTGGCTGGATAATGATTCTTTATTTTTAGAAATATACTTGGATGTCCTTATGGATTATAATTAGCCCCTAAAACACTTCTGATTTCGAGAAAGTGAATATCAAAATGTATCGGTGCTCCCGATGAAATTCAAATAGTGTCCATGGCCATACAATCGTAGATGCGACCATGACAATATCGGAATATGCTGTTCTGATATACAATTTCTAAACGGGAATTTAAAAAAATCGGTCGATTTTGAAGCTAAAGTAATATCGACTGTGAAAGGGAGCGATTTAACTTAAACAGTTTATTATTCTCATTTTTATCACTTCAGACTAGATTTCAACCGCTTTATTGAATATTGTAGGATTGCATGCTTCCAATATGTTCGTTTGAACCAAATTCATGACCCCATACCAAAACTTTGTACTACCCTTGACTACCCTTGAGAGTGAATTGACTGAACCACTGTTCCACAACACCTCCACATAAATGTATGCATCATCAACAACAAAGGTGATAACAAAACAATTAGCAACACATGATTGAACGCCTCTCCAATGCCGATTCCTAATGATCGTAAATATACCCCGGAATATATAAACTACCCCTTATTCTATTTCTTCCCCATGAGCGGTTTAAATACCCATAATATCACTGATGAAATACAAGTAAACAAAGTTATTATGTACTTATGACAGGGTATAGCAATAGTGACGTATGTTATGTACACAATAGACCTACTTCGAATAAGTCATGATTTGAGGACATGGCTAGCTTAACCTTTAGCAAAATTTATTACGTTCTCAACAAATAGACTTCTGCAGGTCTATTAATAGCCAAATTATTAATATTGTGAAAGAAAAAGGATGCCAATGGTGTCTTGCGAAACAGCCCGATTTCAAGGCCACTGGGAAACCCCGAAAGGGAAATGCCTTCCTTTGTGGGAATAGCTCCAGAGGTTGCAAAATCTGTTTCCGCCAGGGGCTGAACCCGAATCTATTTAGTCCAGCCTCTGTACGGTTTTCGTTTAGCGCACCCAATCAGCTGATAAAATAACACACCCTCAACGTTGAAAGCAGACCTAGCCATTCCTCTCAATCTGGGGCCCGATGTGGACGGAAATTTGGGGATTGCGCGATCAGTGGAGAGACCGCGCTGTGTGTGGGGGATAAAGAACGAACGGACTATATCTGGACTAGAGTCTATTAGGTATGAACGCCATCAACCAGGCGCGGATCCACGGGGGGGGGGGCCGACGGGTCCGCCCCCTGGCTTTTTTGTTTTGTTTTTGTTTAAATAAAAGAAAAGAAGAAGAAAACAAATTCGGGGTAAAATTTTAAAAAAAAATATGCATACTACCCCCCCCCCCCCCCACTGAGCGAGATATTAGTCGGCACGATTTTAACATTTTTGAGGTCAAATACGAGAAGAAAAAAAATTATGATCACTACCCCCCCCCCCCCCCCCCCTATCGGCAAATCCTGGATCCTCCCCTGCCATCAACCACTAGACCACGGAGGTGGGTTGATCGATATTTGGCTAAACCTAAAATACCAAAAGACAGCCTTTCCAAACCCTCAAGTCCTCTTCCTAGTGTTTATCTCACACCATCACAACTTACATTTTCTGAAAAAGCAATACAAATTCCACAATCTAAATTTTAAAAACTCCATGCACTATACCTAACTCTAATTCTACCCGGGTCTGTTGGCACAGACTATATCCGAGACTTGAACAACATTCCACTCATACAATACAGAGCCTACAAAGACCGTGCAAGACATAAGGCCCGTTTGCGCAATTTCTTTTTACACGCTAGCCTGGCCATTTCTATGATAAATACCTTGGAAGCGACTAATATTAGAGTCTAGCAGCTTATGCGAGGTGCATAAACATGTACATCGTGCATAGCAATCATCAGATGAAGACCTAGCTGGCCCCCGGAGCTGCCCCTTGTAAATGAGACGGCCATCGCAGCCAGTGGGCGATGGAATTCAAAAGCTTAATTTAATTTAATTTGATTTTCTGAACTTTACTTTAATCTTGATCCAATGAGACACGAACCAACGAACAATCAGATAGCCATTTAACTGCGTGCATGCCTATTATTTAGGTTTTCCCACCAGCGAACTTTTACGAGTATTACGGCAAAACTGGCCAGACTAGCCTGTAAAAACAATATTCGCGGCCCCGTTTACACATAACAACTAGACATATAATACTTGTTTGGAACAAGTATAGGTGGGCTGGTCAACTAACATTTGAGACAAAATAGAGCAAAAATAAGCGACATACTGCTTACAAATTCTTAAAAAACAATATCATGTAGATTCATTACGTGAACGAAATTCACCTTCTATAGTCATAACACGCAAATTATGAAATTTCTGACATGAGGCCTTTAATCGAAATATTTAATCTGATGACGTCATCAAAATGAAAAATGGTTATAATTGAACTTGTAGAGAATTATCTTAGCTACAACATATCGAAAATTTGAAGAAAATCGATCAATATATACAGAGATACAATCAATTTTCCATAAATATGCTGACGTCATATTATGCAAATTCCTATTTTTAGTTCGAAGGCCATTATGATGATGTCAAAATATTTTTAATCGCCAAATGAGACATTAAATCATATTTCCGACTCATACTCTATCTCAATATGAAAACAAAATGAAGGTCACGGCTTATTCCAAAGAGCTATAATGGATTTTGTATAGGCATGTTTTTGCCCATATATGCTATGTATTAAAAGAGCTCGCGCGCACGGACATTTATCTTGAATTGACGCTCATCTTGTTATTAATGGTCATAAAGAGATAAACATGGTATCAAATTCCTCGAAAAAATTAGAGAAATATCATGAAAGAAAAAAAAATGGCGATTCTATGTTTTGTAATGGTGTTACGCGCGAAAACGCGCGCGCATGCTCGTGTGCGCGATTTTTTATAAAATGCTTAAAATGACTTGAAACGTATGCAAAATAAATTTGAGACGATTTTGAGCATTTTGAAATTTTGCGCACGCACTGACGCGCGGACATACGCGCATGTGCGCGTTTTTTGACCTGAAATTGACCGGACTGATATTGACCTTCATCATTATAAATATGAATGAAAAATAACTTTTGGTTATGGAGATATGATCATGACTTGATTTTCAGAAAATTTTACAAAATGGCGCCTAGATGACGTCATCAGTGAAGGTCAAAGTTGAAAACGTTTTTTTGCTTCGTCCATATGCCTATACATATGTGTGCCAAATTTCAAGGCATTTGATTTAGGCATTTTTTAGTTATCTTGCTCACAAAAAAGTGGTTCGAAATAAGAAAAATAAATAAATAAAGGCGATTTTAACAAAAATATAAGGTGGTCTGTATTAGATACAGCCCACCTAATTAGTGCGATTTGGATCGCAATGCAAAGATCGAAAACAAATTGGCGTCCATTTACAATACGGAGAATTCTCGCTCGGCGGCAAGAACGTCGAACTGCGCAAGCGCGAAACTCGACGATGTATAATTATAGCGCTTGGAATCCGGGGATTAAATAAATCGATTTTTGATTCTCTTTTTGATTCCCTATCGTCTAACAGTACATGTATTACATTACGCACTACGAGTAACAAGGGTTTGCGCCTGCAAACTAATTCAGCACTTAGCCTGTTTCAAAGTCCTGGTTTGTATATATCAACCCAATGGTTGGCCCGTATAATAGGCCTACGTAAGTTACTGAACAACAGCCCGCTTTTCGAGTGCTTTAGTCTTCTTACCTTGAATATGTGCCATGGCCTTTTGTTCTTTCTTCCGCAGTCTCAATAAATCATGGACGCTAGCACAGTAGTGTATTCAAAGATCAATTTCACGTGAATATTTACCGTTCAATTAGTGTGTCGATTATTCAATAGACACAGTTGATCGAGTGATTTATGTATACAATACCCTTGAGATATTTGCAGGGCAAATAGTAATTCCCTGTATTACTCTTAAAGTCCAGGGCATCCCAAAACTTCAATTAAAAAGCGCGTTAATAATTATACAAACGATTCAACGGGTTGTTTTAGAACTTGTACAACAGCCCAATGGTCGATCAGCGGGCCATGTCACACATGGCTAAAAAGACAATATTCTAATTCAATAATTAACATATTTCCCACATGCCTATAACAATGAAACATACAGAATTGTAGTTAAAGGTATACTTGAAACATATGTGAAATAAAAATTCAAAAATATTGTTTAGTTTTTTTTAAATACATTTACAAAAATTGCTATTTCTAC